GGGGGGGTTGGGGGGTGTTGGGGGGGGGGGGGGGGGGGGTTTGTACTGTGATCTTTCATTAGCCTCAGAATTCTAGGTTGCTGCTTAGAAATAGGAATAAGATGGGGTTTTGTCATCCCTTGGCTGTGTCAGTGAGAACTGAACCAGTCTTGGTTTCATCTGCGTGTTTAGAGGTAAACTGAAGTTGGCTAAATACAGAGAGATATTGGCGTTGCTTCTTCAACTTCATGCACACGTACAGCCCCCCCCCCCTCCACACACACACACACACACACACACACACACACACACACATTCCATGTTTGTGCCTGGGCTGATACCTTGCACTCACAGAAGCTGAACCAAGGCCAAGATGGCAGCTTATCTTGGAGAGCATTCTTCCCACTCTTCCTTCACTTAACCTTTAAAGAGAACAGTTAATTTGGGGGAGGTGCAGGAAGGGTCCTGTCTTCCTCTGAGTGGAGGGAGAAATATGGTGATAGATTGTTTCTGTGGCAGACTGCCGTTAGGTTTTAATATTTACTGCTTGGTACTCAAATAGAGCCTTAGAAGCTATAATACAATAATTAGAAAACAATGAGAGCAATAAACCTAAATAATATTTAGAGTTCAAGATGTTGTTCAGTAAAAGAGTAATAAGGTTATACTGAAAACATATTGGTGTTATCCAAGGGTGAACAAATACTGATAATTATTACTAGTAAGTGTACGAGTTACATTGAAACTTATGGTGCATTATAACATTATGTAATAATATTAGTCTAATTTCTCAAACAAAAGCGGTGTATAACCACTCCCTAAATGTAATGTTTTATTAGGGGTTATCCTTGCTTAGGGAACCACTGACTTTTTGTTCCTTTTTACATGGATGTTTTATTTTTTCCTAAACAATTTGATTATTATGAAGGTTGCAGGTTCATGGGAATAAGAGAGGAAAGTTGTCAAACGGGTTTAAGTAGTTCTGATATAATAAGTGCCCCCAAAAGCTTTGATATTGAAGGCAATTTATAAGCGATTCCCAGCCAGCAACCTGTTGGGGTTTGTTATATTTTTCATGTGGTCAGGGTTAAAAAAGGGAGTACAAATAGCTCTTTTTGCTTTCAGAAAGTTAAAGATATAAGTAGATTACCAACAAGTTTCATTCAGGTTGAATTAATCAAAATTAGAATCTTCTGCCAGTGTTATCGAATTCCTAGAACCCAGGCAGAAAGTCATGATGGGAAGATTCCTCCCGTGCCTTTGAACTCGACTTAAATGTTTTTCTTCGTGATGTGAGACACGAGTTACTTATTTGGATTGGCAAACTTGGGTAATTTTTTTTTCTGCTTGATTCAGGTGGGAATAGTAGTATCCTCTGACTCTGAATTCACAGAGACTCAGATGTGGGCTATCTTGGTAATCTCTAACCCAGTAGCTTTTGGATAATATTGAAAGTCCAATGTAGCCCTAAATGTGCTGCCGCTACTAGTATGCTGCTTCAGTTACTGCTGTAGTGCTAGCAGTACTAGTTCGTAGTAGGAGCACGAAGAAGACAAACAGTAAAATTTCACAGCTACAGTAGGTCTTATTTGAGCAGTCTGTGCCACCTGTGGCAATAGTCCACCTAAAGAAGCACCAGGCTAGTAAATAAGTTAATATTGCATTAACCCACTTTTAACCTGAAGGGCTAGTAGCCTTCAGCATTTTTGGCACAAACTGGATGAATCCATACAGCAGCCTACCTGGCAAGCATCCTAAACTCCTGGAACTTTAAAAAATATCCCGAAGAAGGAAAAGATGTGTCTCATTTACGTTCTTGCCAGAACAGTAATTTATTAGTGGTGGTTGAATAGTATGCTAGTACTTACCTATATAGAAAGCCTCCCAAGATGTGTGTACACATTAATGTTGAAATGGGCGTTATAATGATGAGTTGCCCATAGACTTAATGACAGTTTTATTACTACGTACGTGTCATAGTAGAATCGATACGGGAATGTGTTCACTCAGTTTTCATAAAACTTGTTTTAAGTCATAACCTCAGGAGGAAGACGCCTTAATAGCACCCCCTCTCCCACTCCATCTCTCCTAATGCTGTATCCTCTAAAACCCCTTAATCGAGCTGCCTGAATACAAAGGAATTGCCGAGAAGGTATTGCAATTGAGTTTCCCCCTCTGAGTATCAAGACTGAAAGAAATAGATGGTTAGATCTAACCTAGCCCGGCTGTAGTCCAAGGCTTGACACTGTCATTACATTGTTTCCTAGAAAACTACCATCTCCATGGGAACTGCTGATAAAGCCCATTAAGATGTTACACCGAGAGATTTGATAACTGAATAAAGCATGAGAAATGTTCATCATATCTAAGCAATTACCAGGAGAAAAAAACTTGCTAGGGCTTATAAATAAGTCTACAAGACAAGTGGTCTGCAGAGATAAGTGTCCTGGTGATGGCCCTGGAGTGTGAAACAGATACTGTATGGTAATTGCTCTCTAAATTCAAACAAAACTGGGGAAATGCGGTTCGTGTGTGTGAGCGTGTAAGAGTGGGAGGATTGTGAAAGTGTGAACAAGAAAATATGTGAAGTTTTGCCAAATGAAAAATCTCGCATGATGACTGTTAAGAAAAAGATTTGTGATTTTATCGGCTGATTCTGTTCTCTGATATAATGTATGTTTTCTTTCTTGCTTTTATATAATTGCTTTAATTTGATGTATTTATTTATTTATTTTTATTTTCAACAGAGTAAAGATGACACATGGAAGAGAACCAACACAATGTCCATGGAGAAGTCTGAGAAACACGACCCATACAAAGAGGAAGAGATTTACATTGACGGGATGCAGCAGGTGGGTTGGAGAGTATAGTCACATGGTTGGAGAGTAAAGTCACATGTTCGGAGAGATAGGATAATATGTTTTGGGATTCTAACCTGCTTGAAAGTTGATGTTTGTTAGGTAGTAACATTATGTGGTACTCTGTAAATTTTACTTTGTGCCAACTATATCTCAAGCAGTGGAGGTGCTCGTGCATCTACTGGCCTTCCTGTTTACTCTTGTACTGTCAGTTTTACACAAGTGCCAAACATTTCCAGATTTGGCTACAAAAATGCAGAATGCTGAAAGATTGTTTCGGTCAAATTTATCTTTGGTTTTATTTCACTTTACCGTTTGGTTAAATTCATCAAGCCATTCGATGGAATTATATGTCGTCAGACTTGTTGGTAGGAGGCCAGAGAGAGATTTCCCAAACTCTCGATTCAACAGAACAAATGCATTAAAATGTTGGCACACACTGCTGTGCCCCCTTTTTTCTTTCTTTTTTTTCCCCTTTTTTTCCTCATTTTTGGTAAATGAGCTCAGCCTCTAGTGTACAGCAGATGAAGCCCACACATAACAAGACTGATGACGTGTGACGTTCATCGTCATCATAACTCAATTGCAGTCTATGAGCTGAATACAAATGATATGACTCTAATGTTTTATTGGAGCTCAATTATTTGACACCAGCAGAAAAAAAAGAGTGATCATTCCGCCCAAGGAGTTAATCATTCCGCCCAAGGTGACTGACAGAAAGCTACAGTTTCTGTTCAGCATCCAGTCTGGTAAACCCAACAGCATTGAAAGAGAAATACCTGGTTTTCTAACAGGTAAAAAAAGTAAGTTCAGTCAATATAAAGCAGACCTACTGAGCTACACAGGTACATGCGGTTCAAAGTGACAGCATTCTCTTGATTAAAAAAATACAAAAAGCAAAGAAAATGATGAATAGTATTTCACAAAATGTGATGGATTATTTTTTGGCAATGCATGAGTAAAGTAAAGCAGCTCAGAAATATGGTTCAGACCCAAAAATAGTCTTTTTTAGAAGCTGTTTTTTTTTTTTTTTTTTTTCCTTCTCCTGGGTGTTTGGAGGGTTCCATTTGCTATTATAAAGCTATAACTCTAATTTGCTGCTGATCGATGGGACATTTAAGGAAATGTTTGAATGCCTGGGGTGACACTGCAAGAGACTAGAGGATCATAAATGAAATTGAGCAGAGATGGGGCTGAATATTATGGCAGCCTTTTTTGTTATCAAAAAAAAATAAAAAATGCCCTGAATAGAAAACTTGGCTTGCTGTCTTCGTGTGCTTGAATCAAAAGGCTTGGTGCAAGTTCTCAATATAAGAAATTCATATAAATGCTTGGATATTTTTACATTTAAACAAAACTGCGACTTGTCAGAAACATGTTGGGAAATAGTTTCTTTAGATAAGACATTTTACCCTAAATGAAAAACTGACGCTGGTCTGTCTATAGGGGTTATAAAAACTGTTATACATTCAAGCAAAGTTTGATGACATTAATTATATATATATATTTACATATATATAAATTTTTTTATCTCAGAATTTATTGGGATTTTTAGGTTTTTGCTCTTTTACATATGTATATCAAAACTAGACTTATGTGTATTTGCTTTACTATTTTGCTGTTAAATAAATAAAGAATGCACATTGTATGTAAGAAGTAAAATTCAAGAAGAATAAGTTAATATATTTTGGCGAATAATTTTCCAAGGTGGGGCAATTAAACTGCAATAAATACCATATTCTGTACAGTGTTTGACATAAAAAAAAAAAAAAAAAACTTCCTTCTGTGAAAGCAAATGTTCTGTGGGTTAAGCTGTCAAAGTGTTATGGGAAGTATAAACTTAGCTGCCAAGAACCTGCAGTTTTTTCAAGAACCATACAGCCTCATTAGCGGCTGATTTATGGCAGACTTTGCTGGCAACAGGACGTATGATTGGCAAGATATTAACCAATTAGGTGTTTGGAAAGCATAATCTGCTCCATCACTCTTCCTGACTGACCTTTTTTGTTAAGGATTTCTGGATGTTTCAGAATGAAGATTTTCTGTCAAAAGAGAGGGGGGGGGGAAGACTTCATTTTGATTGATGGATCAGTTGCGAGTGGGGGAGGGGCTGTAAGATGTTATCTCTCAGCTCCTAGGCAGGACATCAGACAGAAGACGGACTCCTTGGCCCTCAATTGCACTGATGAAATATAAAAAGCATAAAATTGCTCATTATAGAAACTGAAACAACAGTCAAGTTTTTCTTTCCCTTATTCCTCATGAGCTATGTAATATTGCTTCAGGCAGCTGCCAAACGACAGTTAATTGCTCCTTTATATAGACCCATTTAACATATACTTTTCCCCCCTGGCTGTCATATTAATATTAAGAAGTACAGTAACCAAGTGTCAACATTGAATGACATATGATATTCTACAGAGCTTTGGCTTTGACATATAGCTGGAGAGAGAGAGAGACCATAGCCAGTGGGTAGTGATAACAGATCACCTGTCATTGAAACAGTGAAACTGACATACTAGTCAGAGCGATCCAACTCTGTAGGGACTCTCACTAAACACAAAGAGATTTACTGAGTGACAATCCTCCTCTAGCAGTTAGGAGGTGATTATATCTCGTGTACTCTCCAGTCTGATCAATCTGTCTAATACAGAAGTGTCATCGTGAATACACCCAAAGGGACGGCCTTGTGACATGGTCAACTCCCGTTTTGACATATGGCTTGAGACTTACCATGATAGCCATTGGGCAGTTCTAACTGGGCACCTGTCTCTAGACATATAACTGCCCCCCAAGGCACAGTCATATAAGGAGGAATAGTATGGGTGATACAAGTATAGATCTATTTGTCTACTGTCATGATGAACTGGTTTGGTGCAACTTCATGGGCTGAACTACTGCCTGTAATGGCTGATGTGAAGTTTGTGTTGGGAATATGGGTCGGAGACATGTTAATGTGATGTATGTGTCTCATTTGTAGAAAACTTGTTGATGGTGATATGTGAATAAATAAAATGTGTTTGTCTCCTTTGGATAGTACTTACTGATGATGAACTGTAAATAGAAATAAGTGGCCAGTGTGTTTGGTTAAAGTCATAATAACTCTTCGTTTTGGCCAAAAATTGGATTTTCCTGGAAAAAACGGCAATTTTCCCGTACTTACCAATGGTCAACGACCCCATTCCTGCATTCAAAGTTAATCCAGGGTTTTTTTCCTAAACGTACGGTTTTTTGTTAAAATCTCTTAAGAGATTTCAACTGACGGAGCTCTCTCTGACATTGCAATGTCACTGGTGACCTACTTAAAACCGCGGGAAAAGCAGACAACAACAACACTATATAAGATTCATGAGATATATTCGTCCTTTTGTTAAAAATGCATTTATATCCACAATGTGTGCCATTCTGGGCTTTTCGTTATCTGACGCACTGTACAAAAACTCGCAACTTACGTCTGCGTCTGCATTAATGTGTTTGGCGCCATGTTATTTTGGTCTCGAATAAACGGGAGAATCCGCTTGACACCATTACATCATTAGCAACGAATGCCTTGATGACTGGGAAAAATGGCATCGAAAGCCCCATTGACCAGCACAGATTTTAGTTTTACTCCAATAACGGCCGTTTTAGTGGTAAAATACGATAGAATATATTTCCATGCGTTGTTTAAAATGTATTTCATGCGGAATTTTGAATCTCAAAGGAAGAGTTATTATTGCTTTAAAGCTGGTAAGAGGAAACTGGTTAAAAGAGAAAATGCAGGAAGAAGGAGAGAAATTAATGGTAGATTTACTACAGAATGGTATCAGTATAATTCAGTTAAAACAACATGCATAAACACACACATATAGGCTAATGCACACACATTCATGCACGCACACACACACACACACACACACACACACACAGAGAGAGAGTTGTGTCTTAAAGCCATGTTTTTTAAAATGAGACCAGAAGAGTTAAGTGTATACAGGGAGTAGTAGTAGTATATATAAATTGTACCTGGAGGGTCTACACCTGGTACAGTATACAACAGGCCACCTGGTGCTGCTGGGGAGAATTAATGTCTGTTTATATCTTACCTGAGAACTTAACTTACCTGTACTTAACCCTACCAGCTGTAACACTTGGTTAGCTTGGGGGGAGGGGAGGGAGTAAGAAGGGAAGTCGGGCAGCCTACTTTACAGGTGTACCAAGCAGCATATTATTAAAGACCTTGATTAAAGTATGGAGGGGGGCAGGGACAAGACTACCACTTAACAGATTCATGGAGTCAAAATTTTTAATGAGAGTCTGTAGCTGAGGAGTTAAATGATAGGTATGGGAATTTTAATGCGTGTTATCAGGTACCTGCCTTCTGGAGGAAACGTGGATATGTTTGTAATGAGTTAATTTCATGGTGGGCTATTTAAATGTGGTACTTTTTCTGACAGTTGTCATGAGTAAATTGTAAGATGTAACTAGAAGTGGAGACATGGTACTTAAAATTTACCGTGCGTGTGTGTGTGTGTGTGTGTGTGTGTGTGAGACAGAAAGAGAGTGTCTGGATGAAGCATGGTATTATATTACATTAACTTAAACTGAAAAAAAAAATGAAAATAGAAAAACAAAAAACATGCAAATCATTGAAATCAGTGTTGAATTAGCCAATTAGGCATGCAGATAAGAAATATTTTTGTAGACCATTAGATGTCTTCCCCTGTGACATAGTGAGGTGAAGGGGTTGGGGGGGGGGAATGACAACTTGTGGCCTTACCTTATTGAAGAGAGTTCAGTTACTTGTGTCTTATTCACAGGATAGGTTGAAATGTTGACATGGGCATAATAGAGGACACGTGTGAACAATGGAAACTTGGCATCCAAGACATATATAATACTGAAGGGCTTTCATACGGTGGTTAAAATAAAATGACTCCTGGATGAGTAACTTTTCCGTTCAGTCCACACATTTAAGTGTTATATTTCAGATTGATTGGGGGACATTCTTTGGGATTGGTTTTGGAAGTTTATGAATCATCTTTGAAAGGGGTTCTGTCAAAGAGGAAAGAAAAATACTGTGAACTTTGTTAAATTATTATCAGGATTTGTGATAGATGTGAGACCCTTGAAAAGAGAAGAATTTAACTCTGGGAAAATTCTTCAAGAAAAGTTTTATTTGGCCTGTCTAATACTATGTGGTCTGGTTGTTGTTTACCCTCCAGCATTTTAGACTTGGTGTCTTTAGAAATGTCATTAGGATATTTGTAAAGAGAGAAAGTCTGTCTCTCTTTCCAGCATATTTTGCCTCCCTCCCAGTTTTATTTTAACTCAGATCTCAGATAGCTCAATCATTGCAAACAGATTTTTTAAAAAATGATAATCAGGAGGCCATGACTAATATGGAATTATACCCCCTTGCTTGCTTTGGTGATTTTATGTCAATATGTTTTATTGATTGTGTACTTCTTGATTATCAAGTAAATTTATGACAGATAAAAAGAGAGGGAGAGAGAAAAAAAATCTTCTTAGGTTTGTCTCCCATTTCTCCAGTTAACCCTCTAATGATCAAGCATGGCAGATGGTATATTCCACACTTTGTGGCCACTTGCGGCAAACTATAAAATCATCGGAACTCCGTTTACATTAAAGATGATCTCTGCACCTGAAATTAAAAGAGAAAAAAATAAAACAGTATACGTGATTCAAGACAGAGCGGAGTCTTTTTAACTCATGAGTCAACCCCTGCTGTGTTTGGATAAACCGATAGACCTCAGACCTTTGCCCAGCTGCCTGAATATTCAAAGTCATCCAGGGGAGTTAGAGCTTTGGAAATCAATTTTGACACGATATGGCAAGATTGTAATGAGAGAAAATAAAATTTAAGGTGATAAGAGAAGGGAAGGTCTAGTCAGAAAATGGATAAGGGAAAGAGCGAGACTTGGAACTGTCAATTTTGATGGGTGATGGCAGGGTTGGGCATGATAAAAATAATGCTGGAGTTAATTAAATACAATTTTACCAATTAATGCATATATATATAAGGTCATTGCCCTAAAGTAAGAGTGCTAATTAATTTAAAGGATATAATATATATATATATATATATATATATATATATAATATATATATACAGTATGTCATTTTGTATACATTTTGTTTTATGATGAGTCAACTTTGGCAAAAAAAAGATAGTCATAAGTAAGATGTATGCTATTTCTTTTTGTTGGTATTTGAAAAAATGAAAAATAATTTCTTTGTAATCTTATTTTCTTCTTCAAGCATCTCTGTATTAGTTTTCCGTTAAAATGAACTCTGTATTACAGTTCTCCATTCTTTGTTTTAGGATGGTGTAATGGAGGGTTCTGGGAATGGTAACCAGGAAGACGACACAGAGGGGTCGGGACCAGATGACGAAGAAGGTTCTGGAACCATAGGATTCGTTGGTAAGATGGAGCACAAGTGTGTGCGTGCATGCTTGTGTGTACGTACGGATGGCCTGCCGAAGGAAACCATTGCAAAGCATTCTCACTAAATTTCACTTATTCTGAAACACTGATACTAATTAGTTAATCAATAAAAGAAGAAATATTCAAACAGATTGAGAAAAAATATTTCAAAAAGATTTATTGATATTATTGAATAAGAAATGTGTACGAATAGTGAACCAATGGTGCACAGAGTTTTCATCAAATGTAGAACACATGCTCAGTGGTTATACTGTGGCAGCAAGAAATCAGTGTGGCAGCAGTGACTGAGCTTTTTTTTTTTTTTTTTTTACCAACTTCATGACAGGCACATGTGTCCACTTTTGCAATGGCAGATCCCACAGTTGTTCTCACTCCTGACGCTTTTTGATCACATGTGGAATTAATTCTCACAGATCTGTAGGGGGGCTGTTTACTTCCTCACAGTTTTATTCTCCAGATTTGAACCAATATATATGTATATTTATTTCAAAATTTAGAAAAAAAATACAAAATACACAAAATGTGTAAGAAGTGTAAAAGGTTTTATTGACCTCCTCTCCAACCCTCGCCTCTCCCATAGAAAAAGTATGAAACAGTTTGATCTCTCCAAGGGAAGCAATGAGACCAAAACAACCACCACCTTTTCCTGTATCAAAATGTGTATACAAAGTGAATCAAAGAGAGTCAGACTTTGAAAACTTGGATGAAATTCATGTCTTGGGTGCAAACTTCATGGGTGAAACCTTTCAGCAGTTGGCCTGCCTCTTGTCATGTGTTGAAAAACAAGAAGAATGTGTATCTGGTTGGTTTGGGTCTCAAGTTGAAATCAAAACAGGACGTTGGGGGCTGAAGCTCATTCCAATCATATCCAAATGTCAAGTGTATTATTCCTTGATAATAATGATATTTGAAAATCACAGCTGAAAAGTTAAAGCCTAATCTTAAATAAATATTGTGCATGTTTTTAATATGTGTATATGAAGGAAATGTTTAAGTTTTAAACCCTCACGAATTTCTTAATTTATTGGATGGCTATAGATTAATCTAGAATCAAAGTAGACTAATGTTTTGGTCTCAAGTTTGTCTTATCTGCCCCCTGTTACAGTCAGTCAGTATTAATTCAACAACTCTCTCTTCCTTCTGCTGCTCAGATGCTAACTCATTAGACTTTGCATTCACAGGTTGGTATTTTGTGGTATATAGCTGTCTTATGTCCTTTTCACACCCACCATAATACTCCAGTGACACAGTCTGTAGTGTACCAGTACACTTTGAGAGATTGACAACTTTTAAAATAGCGAATGGCCAAATCGGAGCACTTGCATTTGGTACTGCCAGCTAATTAATGTAGCAGCAGGAAACGAATTGTGGAGATCTTTTGAAAGAAATTAAAAATCCTTGTTGTGTAATATCATTTTCAGGCGTCCAAAGTGTACCAGTGCAGACTGTACCACTTGGGGTGGAAAGGATCTTATTTGTAAATGCAAAATGGTACTAGTAATTATTCTCATCATTTGAACAAAATTACTGAATCAGATTTTTACAAAGCAGTGTTTTGATGTCCACAACTATAAAAAATGATCATAATAAAAAAAATAATAAAAAGGAAGTTTGGCTCTTTTCATCTTATTGTAATTAACTGAAAAAAAAGACTAATCTGGATAAATGAAAAAAATTCAAATGTGAGAATAATTACCGAACAGCTGTTGTATATGTGGCAACGGTGACTTTTATACATTTCACCAGCATTTAGGACCATGTAGTGTGTCAAGATGGTAGCTATGGCAACACTGCTTAAACATGTGGTTTTTCTGAGGACTGTCAGATTAAAATGAGAACAAATGTTGAACTGATCTTTGAATTAGTTATGTTACGCAAAATGTCAGATTCTTTTGCTTGTAAATAGTGTAGCTTTGATGCATGTAAGCCAAATTGGCTACCTGTATAACTTTCTTTTTTCTTTGCAAAGGAGATCTGTGGTCATTTGCAGGTAGATCTTTGTGGCCTTTATCTATTCATGTTGTAAAATGTCACAAACCCTCAAAAGTGATGCGATCAGAGTTATAACTTTGCATTCAGCTTATCATTTACGAACAAAGTGAAAGAAGTTGTCTGCTTAGTACTTGAAAGTAAAACTTTCCTAATACTAATATTTTTAGTACTCTTAGTGCTCATCTCTACTGTTGATGTACATTGTCAGAACGTAATCCGCCCCCCTCCACCACCACCACCCACCACCCACCCCCCACCCCCACCCTTATTCTATTCCCCCCCCCCCTTTGCACCCTTATGACTTAAATCAGAAATCAGAAGCCTGTGGTGGACCTTTTGCAGTTTCTGGACCCCACCTACTTTCTTTCATACTTTTTCTTACAGCCAAAAACCATATCTGCTTGTTGGGTTCTTTCTATGTTGTCACAGACATCAAAATGGGGTTTTCCTACAAATGGAGAATCCCCTCTTTTTATGGTGCTGGATATTATGGCTTTTGATATGTTACTAGTATTTGTGATGTATGTACTTGATGTAGTATATAATGTCGACTTACGTCTTGATGTTTCTTCTCGTAACAGCTGTGTAAGAGGGTAAATTAAAAAAATATCTGTTTTTCAAGTTACAAAAACAGCTATACCCAGTAGTTTTTATGCTCTAATATTACGTGGGGGGGGGGGGGGATATTTAAACTTCTTAGGTAGAGTTTACTGTTTCACCTACACCAATAATATTCTCCTCTGTATGTTTCTCGTTACTAGTAGCTATTAAAGTATTGAACTGGAAAAAAAAAAACCTTACACTTAGCTGTTATTTTAAGAACCCATTATTGAACCACAGCTGATGAAATTCTCTGCGAGAAAAAAATATAGATTTCTAAGAGTAATTCACACAGCCCTGCCTATGTAGATCTACATACAATACATCCAGTCATAACAACCACCACCTTCTTCATCACTTTCAGACACCGTCACGGGGAGCACGAGTCGACCACGCACTCAGTGCGAGCTCACGTACCAGGAAGTCATGCGACAAAACCTGTTGGGCGCATTCATGCCTCGCTGTCACCCAGAAACGGGCGAGTTTCAGGCCATGCAGTGTCACGGGAGCACGGGATTCTGCTGGTGCGTAGACTTGGAGGGACGTGAGCTGCCTGGGACGAGGAAGAGAGGACAGATGGACTGTGACAGTGAGTATTTTGAAGAGACACGTGTGTGTCAGCATACGCATGCAAGCACATGCACACCATAGTACATTCCAGTGTAGTGTAGAGAGATTTCTTTTCTTAACTTGTAATAACTACACGCATCATCTATCTGAAACTTTAAATTGATTGAAAAGATTGAACTATTTGTTTGTTTGTTTATTATTGTTTCTTTAGTATTATTATTATCATGACTATTATTAATATTATTATTATTTGATGAATCTTTGATATTTGATGTGGCGATCTTTTTCAGGTGTGCGCATGAATATTCACATCAAGGGTGACAAAGCAACGACACACAGCAACAAGGTGATGAAATCGACATCGAAGGCGCCGATGCCCTCGACCACAACAATCAGTAATGTGGTGCCAGGTAGGTCCTTGTATACCTTCACTTACAGGTGGGACAACTGCCACAATATATACCCACTTGAAAGATGCCAGGTTGTTTTCAGTCAGGAAACTGAATCAATAAACTAATTTATTTATATACTTGTTTCATCCGTCTATTTATTTTAAGGAAAAGAATTTATGCAAAAAGTAACTGAAAAAAGTAACTATTTTGTAAAGAAGGATGAAAGTATATATATACATTTTGCATGTTAAGATGATTGTTTCAGTATTATCCTAGTCAAAGCCATAGAAAAAGAAGTCTTCTTTCTTTGAATGAAGTGACTAGATTTATGTCTCATGTATTTGAAAAGATGCATTTCGTGTTTGAAGAGATTACCTTACAGAATTTTTTTTGTCTCCTTTTTCCAGGAGCAGACGTTGGCAAGCCAAAAGAGAATCTTCAGGAAACCAACAAAGATTACAAGAATGATGACATTGATGGCAACATGATCAACCTTGCCCAAAAAACAGAAGAGGGTGATTCCAATAATGCCTTTATTTCTGCCAGCCCAGGTTTGTTGGCAGGTGAGTTGATAGAAAAAAAAGTTTCATTGGAGGCCAGTCCACCTCTCTTTTCCAGACATGAGCTTTTACCGTGGAAATGAGGAATTCTGCATTTTTTTTTAAATTCAATTCTGAGGCGGTCCCCGGCCCTTGGTAGGTTAAATGTTGGGTTCCATGATAAATGTTCAGAGTTTTTTTTTTTTTTTACTTAGGCTCATGTCTCATTCAGAACTTCTAAACAAATTGTCTGTATGTAGTATATACAAAATGTTGTTCAGAAGAACAAAAATTCTTTATTTTGTTTGAATTGCATAAGTATCATGTCAAATCAACGTATAGATCTTTAAGAAGTAAATAAGGTATTTAAACTATGCATCTATGAAGATATGCTATAAAAATGTAATATTTAATCCATGCTTTAGGCCCCTAGGCCTTCTTCAGGGATTTTGAAAAAAAAAAAGGTCAATGATCAAAAGCTTGGATTAGATATAACATCTTAATAGTAAATCTTCATAGATGCATCAGTATAATTGCATAATAAATATTTATCATTTATTTTTCCTCTTTCTTTAAAGGTATTATTGGTGGCGCTGTGGTGGGGCTCCTCTGCGCCATTCTACTGGTGATGTTTATCGTCTACCGAATGAGGAAAAAAGACGAGGGAAGTTATGCACTGGACGAGCCTAAAAAACAGCCGCTACCATACTCCAAGAACACAAATAGGGAGTTCTACGCGTAGAGGGGCGAGGCCTCGGCTCGCATGCTCTACATAACTGTTCCATTCTTTGTGATATAGTGAAGACTTTTCTTAATTTGGGTCTGGGCTTCTTGGGATGTAGGGGGGACTGAGTGGCCACGGTGTCGATTGCAACACCTTCTTTACTCTACCAGGACAAGGATACCTGAGTGTACATGCTCTGCGCCCCTACATCCCAACAGAAACTTAACCAGAACATTCACCAATAGAATTATCTTTATTTAATTTTGTTCGACACACTTTATCATTTGCTGTCCATATCTTTTGAGTATCACAATTGGTTTGATTTGAGTTGCCAGCAGGGTAAAGAAAATCGGAAGAATCTTTGCATAACTGCTACTTGGTGACCGTGCAGGTTATTACAAGGACCAGGGTTTTCATATTGCCACTTTTGTATATGTACATATGATATACTGTGTATTTTACGCCTGTCACAACTGAACTTTGTCCGAGGAAAACACATTGGTTATTATTACAACTATCGTTATTATGTATTCATTAAGTAGTTAAGAATTTCAAATTCTTTCGATATAATACTGTTATATCTGGTCCCAAAAACACGGTGATACTGGCTTGAAAGGCAGGAAAACTAAGCTAAACAGAAGTCAGTGTCTGCCCAGTTACGTCTAACTTATTATTAATTTCTTGCTGAAGATAATGTGTATATTAATTGTAGTACATGTGGGTCATGTGATCACAGAAATGAGGTCAGGTGACCATGACTGAGGTCATGTGACTCCTACTGCGGTCACATGACCCTTCTTGTTTTAGACTAACCTTAATCTGTGTAATCACTGTATTATAGTAAGCGAGCACTGCAAATATGCACTGCGTGCTCTCCTTAGGTAGGTTTTATCATGTCCTGTGCATTTTAGGAATTTGTTTGTATTTGTGATCTAAAAAAATTGCAAACATCGAGAGCATCTGAAAGCCATAGAGATCACATTACTTGTATTATATTGTAGTTCAATTTAATTTGCATAGCTTATTAGCAACAAATTAGGCATGCAATTACAGTATAGAGTAGCCCTGCAGTAAATGAGATGTACAAATATGATTGGCTGTGTTAATTAAAGTAGTAAGAATATTGTATCGTATTATGTAATTGAAACTACTGCACTTGGATGCGATTGGTCACCCTTTTTGATTTACAAGCTATAATTTTATTGTTATACTCATCATTAAAGGATCATAAGTCTTAAGACATGCAAGGAGTTGCTATTTTCCTAAGATTGTCATCATCATTTTTTTTTCTCTTTTTTTTTTTTTTTTGTGAAAACCACATGGAAAAAATTACATATCTTGCTGTATTTGGTATTTTTCTGCATATGAATTTTTTTTTCATATATTTGGTGAATGAGGTTTTACACAGTTACAAATTTCAACATTATCTGAGTGTCACATAGTATTCTAATTTTACTTTTTTAATGGGAAATGTTTGGCATCATTATTATGGTTCCATTTTGAATTCTTTATAAAATGCCATGTGTATCATCCATCATTTAATGCCAACTATTTTAAGATCAACGCTTTTATTGTTAGCAGGTGAAATAGACCGGAGATCCTATGGTCCTAACGCTATGAGTGACAAGTGTGAAATTATTATAAAAGAAACAATGTTGCACATATGATATTTCACCACTATGTATTCTTATATGTGGTAGTTCAGATTTTGTTATACCTCAGTATTGCATTTGAATTTTGTAAAAAAAAAAAAGTACAATAATTAGGACATTCTTGGCATGGCAGTGGACTTTGGGGTGAGCGACACAGAATTTCTTGATGGCACATTTGAGTATTTTTAATAGTTCAAAAAGAGGAAATCTTAGTTTTAAATCTGTAATTTTCACATTTTCAGTTTATTTGTGAAAGGATTAACCAATTTATACAATGGAATTGATTGGCTCTTCCTTAACATCACTGAATGGCTGTATGTTCCAAATGTGTCATTAAAAGTCTCGCTAATCCCATATTTCCAAATGGCGTCTGTACTTACTCTTGATTAAAAAAAAAAAAAGAAAAACAATCAATGTGGGAAAGCTTGGAAACTGTACATGTTATAAACGAGAGGGTGCTTTTTTTGCCAAGATGGGGTGCCAATTTGTGAATTTTATTTTTTTTCCAATTTGATGCTCTAATGCAGATTAAGGAACAGGAAAATTAACAGGTTGTGTCGCTGTGCATCATGATTGCTGAAATTTCATCTTGCTTTATAATGGGAGTCGTGCAACAAATAACTAAGTGATCAGTCCTTGCTCTGAAAGAACAGGAACTGTGTAAGAGAAGAAATTGAAGGATTTTCTTCCACATGGTGATCATAGCGAAATAAGAGTGCTTTAAACAGGGGATAGCTCGTTTCAAACATAAAATGGCGTCCCATCTTGCAGCCCATTTTTAATGTATGTGCCTGTGCAAACCGTGCAGTCAGCCTGCCTCGTGGCAACTCTGGGAATCATAATGGATAATTTTTCTTTAAAGCAAATACAATAATTATCTACAAATTTCAAACACCTCACTTATATCCCCCCCCCCCCCCCCTCCAAGTTTCATTTAATTATCACATAAACTATTTCTGATAGAAAATGAAATGGGAACAGTATTTTTTCATCCTTACATTTTACCTTCAAATATTTTTTTCTTTGAATTGATCAAAAGCCATTATAACCGGTATGACATACCTGACAGAACCCAGCTTAACATGGAGAGACAAACGCGTCTTCAGGTATAGCCTTGATACCAGTGATATAATGGCGCAAGATAATGGAACTATTCCCAGAGTTTGTCCTCACAGCCGTGGGTTTAATGTGACTGTATGGTCAAGTGTGTATTGTTGCCATCTGTGAGTTCATTTCAGATCATGTACCACATTGTAATAAACATTTCTACTCTACTGCTGTTGTTTTCTTAGTTGATGAAGACTTTTGTAAAGTCTTGTTCTTGCTATGCCTCCCATATTCCCAGTCTCCAGCATTGCGCATCTTGTTAACATTAACTAACAAAATTGCCACCCATCCTTCAAAATTAAGATTAAACAGTTTGTGAATGTCAATAAAGAAACACTTTTTTTTTTTTTGATAGAGACATTCTAATAATTTATTTCACATTTACATTAAATATGACAGTTAAAAACCATGAGATTCGCGCCACAAAGGGGGCGCTTCCTACTGGCAAAATGAAGGCCTTGCAGCTGATGTCTATTCATATATTGTTAAAATAAATATATCTATATAAATGTTCACCAAAGAACCCACTTTCTCTACGACTCAAGGGGAGTAGCATGTAACAGCCTAGTTGAATCTATTCCCTTGACCTGGAAAATATGCCAATTTCATGTCCTTTTACTAGGTCAAGGTCAATCTTAAAGGTGAATAATCCCCTCTTTCTAGCGTGCATGCAAAGGGCCTCATTTTCAGTGTCATTATAATGAAAAGTGCCTATTCAAAATGAGACCACTTTGGGGAGTGAATTGTTTGCACCACATCTACATAACATATCAACATTGTTACAACAGAGGTTGATTTCATATGGCTATAGCCCCAAAACTGGTTTGAACTTATAAAACCACATGGAGTCTACTGAGATCCAAGCCAAATCCCTGAAAGTCCAATTAAATACTGTCATGATTCATTTAATTAAAATTATCTTCGATTTATCTTGTGTCACAGTGGATGTAAATTCTGGGCCTAAAAGTTCAGACCAATTTTTTTGGCTAAAGCTCATTCCTGACACATACCCCAGGGCTACTATGAAATGTAAACAACCCACAAATGCTTCCAATGTCAAAAAGTTTCCTTTTCTACGTAAATTCAAAGTAACATTTTCAAATGGCACATTTAACTAACACAAATACTGCAAGAACACTTGGAACTGTACCTTAATGGCTGCAATGTGAACATCACCTATTACAGCTGGATCTTATTTGAAAACCATTGTATTATGTGACCTTGACATTAATAAAGGTCAAGGACTGACCCTTACATCAATCCAAGTCCAGGACTGATAACAAAATAAACACACTACTTAATTATCTGCAGCTGTAAGAATCAGTCCTGGTAAATCCATGGTCACATGATACACCAGCATAAATTATATCAAAACATTTAAAGCGATATTACGAAAACTGAATCTGGAGAGAAAAAGTATATTTAAACAGGTGGAAGGTAGGGTCGGATTGTCACATCCTTGATAAACCAAAAACCCTACAATGTAACTGAAATGGGAACAGTCTTAATCTTTGTAAAGAGCTTTTTAAAGCAGTTGTTACCAAAGCAAAGCTTTTGTTAAATGAAGCAATAAAAATGAAAAATAAAAACATTTCACCAAACACTGATGACCTTGACCTATAAAAATTACCATCTCTTTTGATAATGTGAGGATCTTAATGACTTTGGCTTTACTTGATGAGAAAATTGTGGAGCATTTTTGTGAAACCATGCAAGAAATGGTTTGGAAAAAATAAATGATATTAAGAGAAATGAAAATTAAATTAAACTACAGGGAATGAGACCAGGGACTGTAACTGATTGAATGAAGACCCTCACGCATGAGACAGAAAAGAGACAGAAAACTAACAGTACTTATCTACTGTCAACAATGGCAATGAATTAATTCCAAGGACATCCCGCAGTGACCTAATTATATCTATATATATATATATATATAGAATTTCAAATACATATTCAGGTAATTATGCCCTGTTCCTTGGAACAGTGACAGATTTATATATATATCTTAATGTATATATATATATATATATTATTTATATGGCAAGAACAGACAATGCAGTGCGGAGTGAGATACATGGAAGTTTTCTCTAAGAAGAGTGAATCCTGTTAATAAAACATGTGGCAAAAATTCCATTGATCAACAATCACAAAAAGGGTTTAATATTGCACAATTATAAACAACTTTCAAAGGAAAACAAAGCACAGGTCATAGGTGAAAATGGTCTCTCTTTCTCTCTCTCATTCTCACTCACTGGCCAACAGTTTTCTTTTTTTACAAAATTACAGATATCTCCTAAATAATGATTTTAAAAAATACAACAGCACCCTAATGTCTGATCAGTAAAAATTTTTCTTTCAAAAAAGAGAAAAAAGATTAAGAAAATGAGCTACACATTCATGTCTTTTTTTTTTCTCCAGCAGTTTGTACTGACAGGTTAGGACTGTCCTCATAAATAAATACATTCACACACACACACACACTAGTGTGTATACGCACACATGCACACGAACAGCCCACTATACTGGTAAAGAGCAAACCTTAGCATTATTTGTATCTTAAAATCCTCTCCCCCCCCCCCCACCCCAACCCAAGAAAGAACCATACCCTATGTAATATGGCATATCCTCCACATAATAAAATATATTCATCTGATCAAATAATTTCATCTCAATTGAATCCAATCTTATTTTAGCAGGTTAGATGTCTAACCTTATCTCAGACAGAAGGGTTTTAAAAATGGACACACATGTAAACTAACTATATCAAACCTGAACCGCAATACGATGAAAGCTGACAGCTGATCGGGTGCTTATAGCACCTAAAGCCCAATCAAAAGCCCCTTGGCAAAAAACTGCACCAAACATAAACAGTTGGGTCATGTTGAGGTCAAAGGTCAGGTGCTCTCATTTCAAAAACCTTCATTATTCCAATACCATATTTTTTTCAAAAAATAATTAACATTTTTTGTAACACAGAAGAACACATTTTGCAGTTAAATCCAACATGCTAATCCTTTTTATATTTCACCTTTAAGACACAGTTTTTGGAAAATAAATGATCTTTGTTCTAGTTCAGTTATTAGTGACAGTTGTCAAAGGAGTATAAGCAATCCCCCTTTAATCAGACATTACTAAAAAAAGTAATGTCCATGAACAAATATATACTAGCAATTTTGTTTATAATTAACTGTAAGACTACCGCAACCATCAATCGGTTTCTGCTATTCTTTCACAGTACCTCAACTCTCACTTTTAATACTAGACACAAATATAAAACATTGTTTGAATCAATAGCACTACGTATGTAAAATAAATTAGCAAATAACTATTATTGGTGTGTTGTGGGAGGTAAAGAGTAGCTTCCTCTGCCTCTCTTTTTACATTCCTGGAAGCTGATTCAATCTAACAAATATTGGAAGAAAGACCAAGTAGGTCACACTGACCTGATTTCATTTAAATAGGTCACACTGACCTGATTTAATTAGAGGTCGGTCACCATGACCCGTTTCTGTGATCCAATGTGGGTCTCTCAGATCTGGGTTTGTGAAAGTTTCTTCTGGCCTCATGTTTGTAAATATCTAGGTTTAAAATTTACTGACCTAAGTTTTGAGGGTGTGGGTCATATGTACATAATTTTCCCTGCACGTGAATCCACTTACTTCAGAAATTCTTAACTACAACTGTATGTTATTCTGAAGAGAACCTGCATGTACCTGTTGGGCTCATAAAAGAGTATTTCAGATTGAGGTGAACACCAATGGAAGTCTGTAAACAGAGTGGTTGACAAAGCCTCAGCAACAGAATCTGCTCGCCGTTTATTAAAGAGACAAATGGTAAAGCCTTGGCAACGGTGCATTCTGCGTCTGTTTCTAAAAGCTGGACACACACTAACATTCAGTACCATACACAATGAGTAGAATTGAACCAGCTGGCACTTGCTATCAAACAAACAAATAATAATCATAATTATTTTTATGAAGGACCCAAAATACAAATACATTTCTGTACACCAGAGAGAGTCAGGACAATATGGCATTACATGCACTGTGCATATGCAGCACACATATGCACTGTACACAAAGTATACAGATGCAATGTACATGTGTAGTATACAGACGGACTGTACATATATGCAGTACACATATGCAGCCTGAACATGAGATTTAGAATTAGGACAAAAAAAAAAAAAAAAAAGATACCAGACACAGGACAATGACAAAATATCTAAAATAAGCTCTACCGAGTGATCCTCAACAGTTCAGTGACTGGACATTATGGTGAGAGACTAGACAGATATCTTCCTGTACACAGAGATTGAGATTGCTTCTTAAGTGAGGATCAACAGCAGTCAACAAATTTGTCTCTGCCAGTAACTCCACCTTGTATCAACCAGTAACTCCACTGTGCCTTGGCCAGTAACGCAACCAAGCTTCAACCAGTTAACTGAATCATATCCAAACCAGTAACTCAATTATGTCTCAACTAAGCTTCAACTAGTTAGTCAAGCACATCTCAAATAGTAACTCTAGTGTGTCCCAACCAGCTGTTTGATCTTCTACAACCAGATACTCAACCATCTCAAAAGTATTCAACTGTCTCAACCAAAGCAATGAGAGATGTGAAGGTCTTCTCCACAATCACATCCTACCTTATCTCAACTAACACAATGAAGACCACTGTCTTCCTTGCTATCACATCTATCTCTCTAACTCTAACACACATTCTAGGAATGCGGGGACTTAAGAGAAAATGACCACACCCTATTTTAGAAAACGCTAGGGAAAAGATGAAATTGTGATGGAGTCTTACTTCACGTCCACAGGTGTCATAATTTCTGATTGTCAAAACTGCTGAACTTTTCTCTGAAATCTCAGCAGCAGTTCACAGCTAGATGTGGCTTACTGACAAGCATCCCATCTTGATTTTTACACACATTTAAGTTTTATGTTCTGTCAGTGCAAACTCCTCGGCTGTATACACACATATAAAACATCCTGTACATAATTTTTTTTTAAAAAATGAAAAAAAAAAATCATATGTGAATTTGTTCGCTTGAGTTCTGTTCTAGGTTGTCAACATCTGTCTCTCTTGTCGGATCTTCCTAGTGCTACTGTGTTGCTCCTATGTTGCTGGATCCCCTTTGCTGGCACCTGAAGGCTTTCTCCTTTACTAAAATTTTCAATCCCTGAATTTTGCCACGAAGGGAGAATTCATTTTACCCTGTGTATTTGCCATCACCCATACTGAATAATAGCTGCTCCCAGGAGGACTTTCTTTGTACAACATCTAATGAATATGTCCCTGAAACAAATACATCAATCTGTTATGTATCATTGATTTCCAAGGCCTCTCTCTGAATTTGTTTCCTACTGATACATACAAACTCAGACAGAGGCTCCATCCCCTTCTCAAGGTGAACAGAAGTTAGGCTGTCACCGCTTACTGTAAACCATACTACCTTCTGTTTTAAACAGTAGCCCTATTATATGAGATTAAATTATATTTTCATCTTGAGGCACCTTATGTTATAACAACTAGATAAATCAAAGCTTTCATTTTGGCAGTCCTGCTATACACTTGCACTAAGGACAAATCCATGTTCTTTTTTGAACCCAGACTCCAGTAGGCAGGGTTTCAGGCTGCTACAATGACGCCCTCTATCTAATAGTAACAAGTACCTGCTCTACGCTTGTGCTAATGTCAGTACGGCCCACTCTCGCTATCTGGAGATGTCGCTAACATTGACTGATCATTCTTAGGAAAGAAAATACTGGGCTCTGTGTTACGGCGCTTTATTTTACTCTTGGTCTTCTTTAACATTGTTGCCTGAAAGAGCAGGAGTTAGAAAGACTATGTTGAATAAGTCAAGAATTCCGTCCGTCGTATTATACGTTAAAAGTGCAGGGATGAGACTGTCATTTAGTGAAAAAGTCAGTAAATATGGCAATTGGAACTACTACTAGATACAAATAAAAAATGAACAAAAAGTTAACATGAGTGCTTTCACTGGCAAATCCTACATAGAAACCATTTGGATGATAAAGCGTCCAAAAAGCCAATAATGACTGAAAACAGAGGGAGAGAGAGAGAGGAGAGAGAGGTCTTCATCACCTTGAGAGCGGAGCGCAGCACGCCAACCTGTCCCGCAGGCTGGATCCAGGGTTCACCGTCCACTTGGACTGGAAGATCCTGGTACAGGGTGATACGGATCTAGCAAAATAATGATATTAATATTAATTACATGCAGGGCTTTTCCCAAGATTGGGGGTACAGGCCGTCCAAAATTACCACCTGTAATTTCCTACAAAATTTCAAGAGTCTAAGTATGATTGAAGTTGACAGCTGGACGGTTTTCCGGGAAAAATCCTCGATTACATGATTTCTGATGGATTAGACACTTTGTCTCTATGGATTTCTCAAAATACAGATATAAATATTACTGACATGACTTCTGATGGTTTAGAGAATTTATCTTTATGCATATAGTACAACAGAGAATTATATCAAAGAGAGAGAGAGAGAGAGAGAGAGAGAGAGAGGGAGGGAGAGGTCCTCACATGTCCTGCCTGTGCCAGGCGTATGGCACTCCTCAGTCCACTTTGCATCTGGCCCAGGTGCACCACGCCCGTAATGCCCACAATTTCCAGCAGTCCGTCGTAGTGGGTGGGTGGGGACCAGGAGTCCTCCTTCTCTGGGCCCCAGACATTGGCCCCAGAACCCCAGCTGGAACAAGATTACACATGGGATATAATCTATTTATACTGCTCATGGTTTCAAGGATTTTTATTTAATAACATTTTTGTGAAAATATTTATGAACTTTTGTGCTGGTCTTGCCACTAGCTTTCAAGACCACCTACCCTTGAATAGGGACCAGGGATACCAGCTTACCCCCCCCCCCCAAAAAAAAAAAAAAATTTAACCAGGTCACCTCGCCAATTACCACTCTGAGTTAAAATCATTCACTGGTAGACCAACACCCAACTACCTATAGGCATTCAGCCTGATGGATACCCTCATGACAATATTGAAATGTAGCTGTTAAAAAAATTGTTCTAAAGTAAGTGATTCTTATCACTAAAACTTTATTAGATGTGACCTAATTCTAGACCTGAATCGTGATTTGCCAAATCAAGGGGAACTTGAAGTGTCACTAAAGTTCAGCTGTGACAAGTGGGCATGTAAACAAATTTTAAATGAAGAAGCTGGCTTAGACTCATCGATAAATTATCTTCCTGAAAAAATATTTACTTATTATCTAATAAAAAGATATACCTGAGAATATTCAGAATGATGATGCCTTCCACAGGAGGGAGTTCCAGTGTCTTCCCGTCACATTCCACTTTGATGAGTTTATTCAGATCTTTGCATGACCGCGGCCGCCTGTTCATAAATTTCCTTAATCCCATCTTGAAATACATGCCTTTATTCCGTAATCTGAGATACAAATAAATACTCATTAAAATAAACAATACAGCAGAGACATTACAGTAACTAAGAGTTAGATAACTTAAAACAATACAGCAAAGCCTGAAATATCTAGACAAAAAACAGGATTCAGCATATTGATCCGCACAGAGACACACTACAAACAACAGGCTGTCATCAGCCACAGTCTTAATCTTTCCCAGTCCCAGACATATCCAAAACAATGGAGGTGGGAATCGTACCAAATTCAGAGTATCTCCAAGCTTTAAGCTGCTAAAAATCCTGAAAATGTAGCTTGTCATGTCTCATCCCAATTAGGCCATATATAATAAAGTTATCGAAATGAAGAGTGAAAATCCTGAAATCTGGCATAATGTAGAAAACTTTCACCCATGTTGATGACCCAGCTCTATTTTAGTCCTGAGAATCATATTATAATTTATATATTTGAGTACAATAACTAATAAGGAAAAAGGCTAATTTGACAACAGATGAATAACCAACATACCTGCTACTAAATTTTTCTGGCTTTTCCTCCCTTGCATTATGAAAGTCTAAGCACACATCAGCATCAACTCCAATGCCAAAATAATTGTTCATTACAAACATTGTAGACTGATCCTCGTTTGTGTTAGCATCTAAACACTCATTGGCTAAATTCACTCGCGTTTCGTCTTGTTCTTGTTCATTGGGATGGAATATGACGGTCCATCTGAAATGGGATTGGAATATAAGTAAAAGACTCAAAAGAATGACCAGAAATATTCAACACAATGGGGCAGGCTTGTGTTTGCTTTTGATAAATAATATAGTTCATCTGTGATTGTTGAAGGCCTTTCTCTTTTTGCCATTGTGAGTGTAAAAGTTCTTTCTCTTCTCGCGATGGTTTCTCATTTTCACCGTTTTCCAATTCAAGTTTATACATTTCTCAAAAGAGGCAGAATTAGAGTACTTTCAGATACATTTTTGTCCTTACCTGTCTAACTGTATCTCCTCTGCCTCTTTCACGTCCCTTAGTACATTCAGATATGTTTTTATCCTTACCTGTCTAACTGTATCTCCTCTGCCTCTATCACGTCCCTGAGTACATTCAGATATATTTTTGTTCTTACCTGTCTAACTGCATCTCCTCTGCCTCTATCACGTCCCTGAGTACATTCAGATATATTTTTGTTCTTACCTGTCTAACTGTATCTCCTCTGCCTCTATCACGTCCCTGAGTACATTCAGATATGTTTTTGTCCTTACCTGTCTAACTGTATCTCCTCTGCCTCTATCACGTCCCTGAGTACATTCAGAGGGTCTTCACCGCCAGTGTAGCCTGGACCCCAACGCAGGACTCGAGCTAAATCATTACCTAGAAACATTAAAGGGAATGGCATTAATAAAACTTATTCTCAATAATCTGTATAAAATACAATTACATGTATTTTGAAGAAAGAGTTCTGATTACGAAGAGTAATGTTTAAGTTACGGCAAATATCTATTGGTTTTCAACAATTTGTTCTCCTGCTTCTATATGATACTCTTTTTTTTTTCTCTGCTGGCAATTCAGTGGAGCTCTGTGGATTGCCCACATTGTGACAATGTCACACCTAACACAATTCAGCCACAAATTGCTCTAGTCGGTGCTGCCCCCTACCTGTGCCCAGTGGAACTATCCCCATGGGAGGTGACTGGCATACAGCATCTTGGCCCACATTGTCAAGACAGGACAGCACCCATCCCACGGTGCCATCACCGCCACACACCAGAATCTTGTAGTACGGGATGTTACGGAACACATACAACCTGGAGAAAGGTATACTTTTTTGTAAAGATTCAAAAAAATTCTTATACAACTTGTTTCACACTTAAGTACTGAATGTTTCGGACTACATAGAATCTGAGGAAGGTACTAGTTATTATTCTGGTGACCACCAAAATCTCTACAAAATTTCTTTGTAAATATTTAAAATTTCATACACAACTGTTTGGTAACAATTCATTACATAACACAACCTCAAATTATTTTTCTGGTTTTACCTTACTAATTGCTTGTGTTTTACTCCAAAATTTGCAAAATTTGCAAACCTCAAAATAATAATAAAAATAATAATAATAATAATAAAATTTATAAATAATTCGGGCATAGAGAATTCCAAGCATTATTTTAGGTAACTCTCACCCTGGTAGAGGTCCACCATATTCTAAATTGAACACTTGGTGTGGATTGAGTAGCTTCCTGAAGGAACGGATCAGTTCCAGACCCTGACAGCCCCCACTCTTTACATTCACAAACACCAATAAAGGAATGACATTCTCTGGGATCATATGAGGCTGGAAAGAAAAAATTTAAAAATAAAAATTCAAAATAGAATATTTTAAGTTATATTTAAGATTCATACTATTAATTTCAAAGAACCTTTTGAATTCACAAACACCAATAAAGGAATGACATTCTCTGGGATCATATGAGGCTGGAAAGAAATTTGAATAATAAAAATATTTGAGAACAGATAATTTTTAATAAAACTTTGTATTCATACTATTTATTTTATAGAAACTTTTAAATTCACAAATGCCAAAAAAAAGGGGTGGGGGGGGGGGATGGGATTCTCTGGAATCATCTGACACTTGAATAAATAAAATATTAGGAGAAAAGGAAGAAAAGCACCCCCTAAACATTCACCTTAACATTCACCCCTAAACATTCACCCCATTTCAGAGCACACTCATTCATAATGCATTTGCTTTAAGCTACATTATTAAGACTGGCGAACCAATGGGAAAATTGTTACAAAACTTTATAGAACTACTACAGGAATTAAAGACTAACTGTTTCTAAAACATCAATACAAAGAGTGCCTAATTTATACAGCTGTTCTTTATCAGAGATTTTTAGGCAGACTTACCTGTATATTGGGCAGTATTTTCAGGCACACTCACCTGTATATTGGGCAGTAGAAGAACTAGGAGCTGTTTTTCATCAAAGATTGCATTTTTAAGCAGACTGAAAGCACTGGTAGCTTCCTCAGTAGAATTATATGTCAGCACCACTGACCCATACTCATAATAGATCACATCTATATCTGTCCAACGATTTCCTGGAAAAGACGGTTAACACATCTGAGACAGCCTCGTTTCCTATAGAAGATACTTTAGACATTGAACAAGATTGTACTTCCCAGAAATAATTGAATTTCCTAGAATAGCTATTTGAAACACTGAAGAAGCTTCAAAATCTAGTTCATATCTAAAAAAAATTGTATTTCCCAGAAAAGGTTGTATTTTTAGAATATATGATTAAAACATCTACAAAATTGTTTATCTAAAAAAATATATCAAAACATTTATCAAGAAGGTATTTCCAGGAATACATCTTCAAAACACATAAATAGACAAGTGACATTTTCTGGAAATGATTTATTGATATTTGAAACAATCAAGATACATTTCCGCAGAAAAAAATATTAGTCAAATGCTCTGCAGATGCCTTCTTTCATAGGAGTCAATTCGGGTTAAATTCTAAGTACGCAATAGCTGAAAAAGGTTTGAAAAAAAAATACAAAAACTTTAAAAAATATTCTAAATGAAAGTTGATCCATGCAGTGGTGTTACTCATAATGATGAAATTTATAACTGTTTAATTTTTACACAATAAGCTGATGAAGTCCCAAGTGTTGGGAAGAAGGCTTTCCAGGTATCCTTTCAGCTTATTGCGAAAAAAAAAAAGTGAACCGTTTTAGATTTCATCATTATGAATTAAAATGAATAAATAAATACACACACACAGACATTTATATCTTACCTTTCCCCAGATTATCAATTAAAATCTTCTCATACTGTTTTTGCGACAAACCGCTGGGTAAATTCCCCACAAACAGGGCCACAGTGGGTCCATGGGGATCCTCCTGCTGTTGGATATAGAATCGCGTCATGCGGTTCTGACGCAGCGACTCCTTCCTGGTCTGCTGTATAATCTGCCATGGCCTCTCTTTGGCCTCCATCCTCCTCTCCGCCACTCCTCTGTCCAGCAGCACCTCGATGAGTTCATAATGCTCGGGGTCCGTCATCTGGAAATACAAAGTAATGAAGAGTACTGATAATGAAATTTCTATGTTTCTGAAAAAAAATGTACTTTTCGGTTTTCACACCTGCAACACCAGTTCCATTTTCTAAGTGAACATATTTTTATAATTTTTATTACAATGTACTAACAGTTCCAGTTTCTAAGTGAACATATTATTATAATTTTTATTACAATGTACTAGCAGTTCCAGTTTCTAAGTGAACATATTATTATAATTTTTATTACAATGTACTAACAGTTCCAGTTTCTAAGTGAACATATTATTATAATTTTTATTACAATGTACTAACAGTTCCAGTTTCTAAGTGAACATATAATTATAAATTTTATTACAATGTACTAGCAGTTCCAGTTTCTAAGTGAACATATTATTATAATTTTCATTACAATGTACTAGCACTTCCAGTTTCTCACCTCCACTCCAAATTTCCCCAGCGCCATCTGGATCACCTCCACAGCAGTGGTCTCCTTGGTGACAGGGATATTCTTGGGACCCATATTATTCCTATGGACACAAAAACAGCGCATTGTTTACATAGCTTTTTGAGAAAATACCTCAAATCACAAAGGACTATTGCTATTTTGAATGATACATACATACACATACAAGCAGACATGCACATGTACACTCACACATTCAATCACACATGATCATACAAAAACCCAGACTTACATATAAGCACATATGCGCACACACATACACACACGCGCGCACACACACACACACACACACACACACACACACACACACCTTAGACCTCCAGGATATACTCTAATATAGCCCTGGTCTGGGTCTCTCTCCTTATACCGCAGGAAAATGGACGGTCGTTTGCCTTCGGTGCGAAGTTGACGACCAAGCAGAGGTTCCACCTCGTCCAATTCGCGCTCCTCGTTCTCTGCAAGAAAAAAACCTGCAACATGAAGGAGCAGTGTTAGACGGCTGTGATAAGAGAGAAAGCGCCAGGGAAATTTGAGACATAAAGCCATGAAAATAAATAACGTTACAAAAGTGAATAAACTATTACAAAAGTGAATGAGAAAGAAGACACACAAAGCATTACATTAGTCCTCCTTTTAGTCAAATGCAAGTGTAATTAAAGACACATTTTAGTGTTGTCAGTATAAGGAAATAACAGAATCTGAACTGCTAAAAACAGAAAAATAAATTCAAGAAAGTCAACGCTATGTTATCTTGAGCTATAAGATAAACAGATCCACAAAAGTTACCAGTCTTTTAGTTGGGGCTAATTCAAGGTCATTTGTGACACTATATTTTCTGTGCTCTGATCAAAATTCAATTTTTACCTTTTTCCACAGCCTCTGCTATGTAATAATTCTGTGGATCATCTGATATGTGGAATGTTCTTAAAGCAGCTTCCTGGAAAACAAAATAATACATTGAAATGCTATATGATCTGTTTAGGAGCAGAAATCTGAGGTATATTTATGAAGGGGGCCTTCAGTTTCGGCTTCCTTTGCAGGTTGGAGTGATGCCAGCAGATGCTGACTGCTGGTCCTGATGGCAAAGAATTTGCCTCATTTAACACTCAATCTGTCCTAGAATATAATCTTTTTCTCTTGTAACGAAAAATTTTCTTAATCTGTTCTATGACATTCTGAAGGACTTCCTAAAAACAGTCCTCCAACTGTTATATTCATTACAGAACAACATTAGNAACTGTAAAAAAATACACCAAATGTTCTAGAATAGATTGAGAACCGTAAGTGAACCTTAAATGAGACACATTTTCGCAGTTTCTACATGTCAACCCCCCCCCCTCCCCTTAAAATTTTTTTCAACTAATTTACATTCACAAAAATCACATTTTCGGCTGAAAGAACTCATAAATCAGTGGATTCACGAAAAATTGTCATAACTGAAGAAACGTGAAAGGCTCAGACTATGACCCAACTGTGCCTGTACATAACGAAGAGAGCTTATTGAGAAACATTTACCACTTTCTGAGAACTAAATACCACTATCTGAGCACAACTTCATACTACCTGAGAAATACACATATATTTACTACTATCTGAGAAATACACACATTTACTATTATCTGAGAACCATTTATACTTACCACTATCTCCTTTGAGGTGGCTTGTCTCGGGACTGAGATTGTCCTGTACAGACGTTTCTTCATTGAGCAGTTGCCATCAAACACTTTGATCACTTCTGCAATAAACAAGGGAAAAAAATCACCTATTTTGCTGAGAAGTTTGCACATCAAGGACTTATTTTCTCCAAGGGACATGTCAAGTTAACTGGGCAGGTCCATTCTCATGGAGTTCTCATTAGTTCAGAGTAAAACCCAAATCAGTTCACACATTTCAAACACGTCTGCTTGTCAGGTCAATTGAAACAACCACTTGTATCATAACTAAAACAATATTTGTTATCATTTCTATTATCATTAATTATTGATTATTATAATCACTTCCTATAAGGCCTTAAAGAACATGATATATTACTATAATTCTTATTTCTTTTATTATTATTATTATCATTATTTATGAGATATTTATGCCCTTATTCTTCAAGATAAAAATATCCAGTAACAGATAAAAAATATATATGATTATGACATATTTATGCCCTTATTCTTCAAGCAAAGAATATTCAGTAAATAATAAAACAAAATGGGATAGAACCTCCACCTTCATCCCTCTCTTTGGGTTCTTTTTCTTTGGGTGACCTCCTCTCCTCCTCCTCTCCCTTAGAGTCTCCGCTAGACGACCACTCTTCTGACACAGTACGCTTTGGGACTTCAATGGCTTTCTTGGTGATCCCTATAATGGTCTCCATACTGACATCCATTCTAGGAATTGTGAGACAGCTGGGGGGAAGCAGGATGTCCTTCAGGATGCCAAAGTTGCACTCCTTAGGGAGCTGTTGATAGCACTGGGCATGGGCCTGGAATGTATTATAATTTTAAGAACTTGTCTTCAAAAAAAAAAAAAAAAATTCCGGTATATGTCAAATGTACAGTTTTCCCCATGGAAAAAAATTGCGAGAGAAGCTACTCACCGTCATCCCGCACCACTCACACCTCATCCCCGTGAGACACTCTGAGGACCAGCAAGTCTTCTTACACAGCAAACACTTGGAGTTGCCAGGTAGATTACCCTCTCTCCAGTGGTGATACTGTATGACAGCCATCTGAAATAATCACAGTCATTATTGTTATTTTTATTTTTTTTAAAGGGATAATAACTCTTCGTATGAGATCTATATTTCTCAATAAAAACATTGTGAATAACTCACAGAAATATAATATATTCTGTTTTACCACAAAAACGGCAGTTATAGCTATTATTCTGATATCTGAGCTTGTCTTTAGGCCATGTGACCTCCATTGATGGCTATACTCTGTTAAAATCTCTTAAGAGATTTTAACAAAAAACCAAACTTTTTAGAAAAAAACCAGGGACTAACTTTGAATGTAAAAATGGATTCATTAACCATTGGTAAGTATGGGAAAATTGTTGTTTACTCCAGGAAAATTCATTTTTTGGCTGAAACGAAGAGTTATTATCCCTTTAATTTCCTGGATCTGCCCAGTAAAACTGTGTTCTGTATTGTTATTACACTTGACGTAAGTGAGTCTGCCCACCAAAAAAAGTTCTTTTATCAATGTCAAAGAGGTTCCGTTTTCACCTCCATTCATCTGTAAGTTGGTCTGTTTGTTTGTTTGTTTGCTTGTCCGCTCGTTTGTTGTCTGCTTGTTTGTCACCAGCCTAACTCAAGAAGTCATGGATGGACCTTGTCGAAACTCTAAAGATAGGTCTGAAACGGGCTCACCTTAAAATGAATACACTTGATGGTGATCAGTGACAATTTACCACCTGGACTTGAGACTTTTTAAACAGTTCTTCCCTCTTGTAAGATGTGGCCAATATCTTTGACCGTGAGCAATGAATGTCCCCTCAACTATCACAATTAGTCAGAGTCCTTGATACTATATTTACCGTTACTGTATTTACTGATACTGCATTTACTGTTACTATTTTTACTAATACTGTATTTACTGATACTGTATTTACTGTTACTGATTTACTGATACTGTATTTACTGATACTGTATTTCCTGTTACTGTATTTACAATTACTATATTTACTAATACTGCATTTACTGAAACTGTATTTATTGTTACTGTACTTACTGTTACTGTTTTTACTGTTACTGTACTTACTGTTACTGTATTTACTGTTACTGTACTTACTGTTACTGTATTTACTGTTACTGTACTTACTGTATCTTGGTGTGGTACATAAGTTGCACACTCCTTACAGTCACTGACAACAAAGTCCTGACACTCCATGTGCACGTAATATTCACAGACTTGAAAAGTGAAGAAGGAAATGTTTTCAGAAACATTTCAAATAAGACTGTATTTATTACAGCTACATACTTTAACGTGCATTCATCCCAAACTTTTATTCTAAAAATGTAATTCATTGTGCTGTACACTTACAAATATATTCTCTATACAAAACTGTATTGTGTCCAAACAGCAAAAGAAAAAAAAAAAAACAAGCCCAAATCAAATCTTTGAGAAAAACTGANATCGGTAAAAGTGCACGGCGACGACGGCGACGACGGCGACGACAGACGCAGATGATGGCTATATGTACAGACACATCTGTGTCTGTACATAAAAATATATGCTATGTGGATTAACATTGCTGACATAAATACTGCTGTGCACTCTAAACACTGTTGTTAGTACAACTACACAACTGTATTAAATGCAGAAATAAATATCACAATTTCCCCCATTCCATTATGTTATCACATAATTAAAAAGTTTTCAATTACTTTACTTTTCATCTGGCACCTTGACAAAACCGAAGAACATTGACTTTGCTTTTCATACTTTGACATACTTAATTTTAATTTATGGTCAAAATCTCTAAAGAAACCAAGAAAAACTATGCTCATATGAGGGCCCATTAGACCAGAGCCCTACTAGTATTTGACAAAAAGGTCTTAAGACTGCTAGTCAACTGAGCAAACTGACTGTGTGAGAGAGCTCCGTTAACGCCGACCCTCCCACTCTCCACGTATTAGACAATTACTGTAATGACTCTATCTTTTCAATGGGAAAAACTCTGTATTTTACAGACACTGTACTTTTTTACATAATAAATTCTTAAAATCAAAACATTCCTATTGAGCCAAAGCAACAAAACTGAGGCGCAGACTACCTTATACTAGTAATTCAGTTCTCTGCAAAAGCAACACAAATACTATACAGTAACAGATTTTTACAGATAAAAGTCACATATCTAAAAGATTGATATTTTTTGTCCATTGAAAAGATCCCAAGTCATTACCATACAAAAGTGCCAATTTTGACCAAATTTTGGTCCTAAGTTTTCTACTGCAGACAGACCCTAGGACCCAGAAGTACCCACATCCCTAAATTAGAGAGTGCTGTTACCTTGATAAGGTTGGTGGCTATACTTGTACAAGGGGAGACCACGGTCTTCAGACAGCGGTCGTGGACCACAAAGTTACAAACTGGAAAAGCAATGAAATAGGCTTCAATTTATGAAATATGATTTCAAACAACAACAAAAAAAATGTAATTTATTGTAACAGTAGTCAGGTAGCAACAGAGTTACAATTGGAAATACAACAAAATTAGTGTCAAATTATATTATATAAATTAAAACAAAAACCAACAAACAAAAAAATGTAACTCGTAACTGGAAATACAATGACATTCGTGTCAGTTTATGAAATATAATTTTAAAATAAAAACAAAAAAAAATTGTAACATTACTCATGTTGCAACAACTGTAGCAAAAAAGATTTACAAACTGGAGAATAATACAATGACATTAGTGTCAGTTTACGAATGCAATAAAAAAAACATCAAGTTTTATCAGTTGTGACAGCACTAAGGTACCCACAAAGAGCACAAAGTTTTAAACTGGAAATACAACAACATAAGCCTCAGTTTAGGAAATGAAACTTTCAAATAATGCATCAAATTTCACTTGTTGTGATAGAACTCGGATGACGATCAAAGACCACAAAGTTTTAAACTGGAAATACAATAAGACAAACATCAGCTTATGAAATATAATTTTAAACCAAAAACCAAAATTGTAATTCGTTGTGACAGCACTCAGGTAGTAACAGAGGACCACAAAGTTTTAAACTGGAAATACAATAAGATGAGCATCAGTTTAGGAAATAAAACTTTCAAATAATCCATCAAATTTCCCTTGTTGTTCCAAAACTTAGATAACATTCGAGGACCACAAAGTTACAAAGTGAAAACACATCAGTTTATGAAATGTGACTTTTTAAATTGCATCAAATTTTACTTGTTTTGAGAGAACTCAATTCAACACAAAGGAACACAATAATACAAAACAGCACTGAACACCAATTCATCATGACCCAAAACAAGGGAAAGGACTGAATCAACTGAAAATAGTCAATACAACACTTTTTACATAAAATTTTTACATATTAAAGACTTACTTAGTTGTGATACTACTTATAATGATATTGCAAATAATGCACATATTATAAGTATATATGCATGCACACTCATGCTGGCCATTGAGCCTGTGGTGATACCGTCATCAGGACATCGCAATTTTTCAGCAAGATAACACAAGGCCACATTCACAGGCCTACCCAACTACCAGACTTTGCACACAAGGATCCTGAATTAACCGATATATCGGACCACACTACCCGTTTTCAAGGTGTGTGTCAGATCACAGTCAGAACACCGACAGGATGAGCCCGCGGTCGTCCTACAAAAATTGTTCTGGGGTATGAAGTTTGAGAAATTGATAACTGCACTGGCAGAAAAGTACATACTGCTTATAAAAAGTCTGGAAAAAAAAACTTTACAGGTGCTAACGTTTGGCATCTCAGATCTATGCATATAGCAAAGTGACATCTCCAAATCGCTTCACACAGCCTAGAGACAGCTCCACACAGCCTGGAGACAGCTCCATATAGCCTGGAGACAGCTCCATATAGCCTGGAGACAGCTTCATATACTAGTAGCCTGGAGAACAGCCCCATACAGACAGCTCCACACAGCCTGGAGACAGCTCCATATAATCTGGAGAACAGCCCCATACAGACAGCTCCATATAGCCTGGAGACAGCTCCATATAGCCTGGAGACAGCTCTATACAGCCTGGAGACAGCTTCATATAGCCTAGAGACAGCTCCATACAGCCTTGAGACAGCTTCATATAGCCTGGCCCCCGTTTCACAAAGAATCTTAAATCCGTAGTTGACTAGCTGGAGCTGAATGGCCTGGCTAGGTCGACTACACTGCAGTCGACTAGGAGTGTTGCACAAAGAAACTAACGTCTTAGCTTGGCTTGCTTACCTTAGTCGATGCGCACGAGAAACTCTTCAAGAGAAGGAGGTGTTTCACAAGACATGAAGTTTCATGGCCTCTTTCGGCCGAGAACAAGCCTTTATCAACAATAAAAATCAGCCAAAACACAAACAAAGTTTGTTTTTGAACTTTATTGATTAGTATAACTTCTATACAACTTCAAAGTAACAGTTAAACATTAGCTTGTCATGGAACACTGCTGACGGACGTCTAGCGGTCAAAAACATAAACAAACACGCGATCGGCTGGCTGAAGTGGCATTTTATTTTTTTATTTCAATATTCCATAAATGTCAGTGCTATTCAAGGATATTATAACACAATATCTTGAAGGAGGTATGTTCTTTCCAAATTTTTGTTGTTTATGCTCGCATTTACCGAGTTTTAGTTGAGCTTGCCGACTTAAGTCTCCTCCCGAGGAGGCTTGACATCGTCGACTAGCAGCTAAGGAAAAAAACGACGTGGCCTTTTAGATTCTTTGTGAAACGGGACTTAGTGACGTAACGACTTAATTACGTTGGCAACCAAGCTCTTAGTCAGGGAAACCGACTTAAGTTTTTTTGTGAAACGGGGGCCTGGAGAACAGCTCCATACAGACAGCTCCACACAGCCTGGAGACAGCTCCATATAATCTGGAGAACAGCTCCACACAGCCTGGAGACAGCTCCATATAATCTGGAGACAGCTCCATACAGTCTTCAGACAGCTCCATATAATCTGGAGACAGCTCCATATAATCTGGAGAACAGCTCCATACAGACAGCTCTGTACAGCCTCGAGACAGCTCCATATAGCCTGGAGAATAGCTCCATGTAGCCTGGAGAACAGCTCCATACAGACAGCTCCAAACAGCCTGGAGACAGCTCCACACAGCCTGGAGACAGCTCCACACAGCCTGGCATCTCTTTATATATATAAATGGCAGTGTAAACAGCAGAGAAGTGCGTGGGCAGGCCATAATTAGAAGCAGTATCAGAGCCCCAGCCTTATAAATGGCAACAATCAATACTTGAGCCGCTTGTCTTGTGCACATTTTAATCCATACAAAGCAGTGCAGATAATTCCGCATGCTATGGCACTGCTTATACCTTAAAATACTGCTGTGCCACTTTGGCTTTATATATTATGGAGGCTGGGAGAAATGGCGGGTATATAGGTGGGTGGGGGCTGGTTAAAATGTGGGGACTGAAGGGGGTGGTGTGGAGGTAATTCTCCATGCTTAAGAACCAGTTAAAACACATTAAAAAGTGCACCGTGCCACTTTTGTTTTATATTATGGAGGTTGGGGGAATATGATGAGAGGGTGGGTGGGTGAGGGGATGGTTACATGTTGGGGATTAAGGTGGTGGAGATAGAGAATTTCCACACTCCTGCACCAGCTATGCCGTCATGTAGTGCTGTGTCAGTTTAGCTTTATATTATGGAGCTAGGTTGGTAGTGAGAGTAGAAATAGAGGTATTTCTGCATCCTGTTAAGTTATAGATTTAAAATATTGCTGTCCTACTTATACTATAATATTATTGAGGTCGGGGGCGTGGGGGGGGGGGGCAATAGGTTGCATGGGGGGGGGAGAACTATAAAGGCGATAAAAGATCTCAGATATGTGACACTTCACTCATTTCATACATATCCCTTCTATCAGAAGACAATTCAGTACTTGAATGAAAATAAAATTTTCGAATGTGAAATAATTTTTTTCCTGGTGATATTCTGCCCCCAGCTCACTTGTTATTAGTAAGGTCACTAAGCCATTTCTTCTCCAGTTTTCTTTTTCTTAAAAACAAAAATCGTATCTGGATTTAATGTGTGTATGTATGTGTGTATGTGTGCATGCCCTGTGCATGTGTGTGTGTGTGTGTGTGTGTGTGTGTGTGTGTGTGTGTGTGTGTGTGTGTGTGCAAGTTTCTGAATAACCATGCATATTCCTACAGGGCTTGAAATAAGGCAGAAAAATAGTGTGAATGAATGCATAACATGCATATGTTCGTGTGTGCATGCATGTTTGTATGTATGTCTATTAGAACTGGAAATAATGCAGCAAAGTGTGCGTGTGTGTGTGTGCGTGCGCACACACACGTAGTGTATTTTTCCTGTTGGTATGACATGTTTCATGGAATATAAAGCATGCAAAGTGTCCACCAGTTTAACAGATTTATTGCTGGCCCAATGGACTGTTATGAGACAAGACCATAACAAGACAGTCACAAGCTTTCTCCTCCATGACCACAGGTTACTGCAAGGAAAACAAGCTCTGTGTGGTTTGCACAGGGGCGGGGCACCTGGTCTGCGAGTATATGCTTTTTTTTTTTTTGGGGGGGGGG